GTCATCTCTTGCTATCGCCTCACCCTTGACTTTGTCCTGTCCTATACTTGGATTTCTATTTTGTGTTGAACTTAACTGCTTTTTTTCATATTGAAAAGAGACATTGCCCCAAGAGCCAAAAATAAATGGGAATTCAAAAATTCAAAAAAAAAAAAAAAATTCTGGGCCAAACACAGACACAAAATGGTGTTCCATTTGCCCTGCCAAGACCGAGTGGCTGGACAGTAAGCACGTGGGCTTCGTGAAGGTGAAAGAGGACATGAACACCATGGAGGCCATAGAGCACTCCAGGTCCAGGAACGGCAAAACCAGCAAGAAGTTCACCCTCACCAAACGTGGACAGCTCCAGCTAACGCGTGTGGCTTGTGTGCATCACCACCACCAGATCGTTCCTCTAGCTCAACAGAGCACCCTGCACCCTACCTGCTCAAAACACCCCAACTTCTCTGCACTTACTGCACTTCTTTGGGTTCCATATTTTCCTTGCTCCCCTCCAAACATAGCTGGATTGCAAAGTTAAGTTTATGATTGTGAATAAAAACTCAATGATAAATAAATAAAATGAATAAATACACTCAATGTAGGTGATGCCAGGTTGTAATGGTGATTACATCTATGGTCCCCAATGCAACACACATACACTTTCCTTCTTATTTTTTCAGTACTGGGTATTAAACCCAAGGTCTTCACTCAGACCTGAGTCCTCAACCTTTCTTATTTTTTTTTATTTTGAGACAGGATCTTGTTAACCTGCTAGATTGCCCAGGCTGGACTCCAAACATGCACTCCTCCTGCCTCAGCCTCCTAGATTGCAGGGATAATGGTCAGTGCCACTGTGCCCAGATCATCTTTTGTAATTAAAAACTACTAAGAGCATATGCCAAGTAAGCGCTCTGACACCAAGCTCCAACTCCAGCCTAAGATGTATTATTTGTTTGACTTATTAGTGCTACAGATCAAACCCAGTGTCACTTAACACTGAACTACATACACAGATTTTTTTTTTTAGGTAAGGTCTCTCTAAATTGCCCTGGAAGGACTTGAAATTGCAATCCTGCTGCTTCAACCTCCCTCAGTACTGGGATCACAAGCATGTACCACCACATCCAGCTTCAAGAAAAAAGTCTGTCATTTACTACTATGGATTTAGTGTTTGCTGGGTACAAGGTACTGTCCTAGGCCTTCGAGCTTAACCATAACTTTAAAAAGTATCTCCTCTCTCTACCCCCATGGAACCAATATTCTAAAGGGGAGGAAAACAGACAATACTAAAATAGACAAGATGAGTACTATTAAAAAAAATAATAATAAATAACCAGGGTCAAAGGGCAAGATGTGGACAGACTGCTCCCTGAGTGAAAACAGGACATCATGTTCATGAAATTTGCCCCCATAAAGTTCTCAAGGTCCTTTCAATACAGAGCTGCTGTACAAAGTACAAAAGAGATGTGAAATTAAAGAAGAATCAGTCAGGCGTGTAATTCCAGCACTCAGAAGGCTGAGGCAGGATGGTCACTGTGAGTTAGAGAACAGCCTGGGCTACATATTAAGTTAAAAGCCAGCTTAACTACATAGTGAGATTCTGTCTCAAAATCCCAGAAGTGGGGGGGCGGGGGAGACAGAGACACAGAGAGACAGAGAGACAGAGAGGGACAGAGAGAGACAGAGAGACAGAGAGACAGAGAGACAGAGACAGAGACAGACAGAGAGGGACAGAGAGACAGACAGAGAGACAGACAGAGAGACAGAGAGGGACAGAGAGAGAGACAGAGAGGGACAGAGAGAGAGACAGAGAGGGACAGAGAGAGACAAAGAGACAGACAGAGAGACAGACAGAGAGACAGAGACAGAGAGACAGAGACAGAAAGAGAAACAGAGAAAGAGAGACAGACAGAGAGATAGACAGAGACAGAGAGAGAAAGACAGAGAGAGACAGACAGAGAGTGAGAAAGACAGAGAGAGACAGACAGACAGAGACAAAGAGAGTGAGAGAGGCAGATGACCTAAAGAGGAAAATATATTTTACTATTTCATCATCGTGCCTGGCAGAGAGTAAGCATTCAATAAATGTTGGCTGAATGACTGCTGAGTGACCTACACAATAACAGAGTCATCAGCTAAATGATAAATTCTCCCTCCTAAATTTTTGTGGGCTTGTTTTTCCATAGCAGAGACTGAACTGAGCTATATCCCCAGACCCTTTTTTATTTTATTTTGAGACAGGGTCCCTTTATATGACTAAATTACCCAGACTAGGCTCAAACTGGAGATCCTCCTGCTTCAGTCTCCCAGAGGACTGGGATTAGAGACATGCACCACCACCTCACCAGTTTTGAATAGTACTAGTTCTGTTTGACTCTGAAATGTCCACTTCTAGTTGACCTCTGACCTTGGCTCAGGCTGCCTGAACATCCCTACCTAGGGTATTTTTGTTACACCCTGAACAGAAACAGCCATATCGCTTCTCTTTGTCATATTCTCAATACCCTCTTGAATAAATAGCGTCCACCCAGAACCGCTCAGGCTCCCAAACCCCAGCTCCTCTATCAGAATGTGCCACCTCAGTTTCAAATTCCAGTAGGCTAAAAGTCAACAGAAGGATAAGCCTTTGGTAGGAATGAATTTGTTATGAGGTGTTTTAGGCCCCAGGATCCCAGCTCTCCTTCCAGCCCTTTCTACCGTGTCTGCCTGCAACCTGCTATGCCCAGAGGCCTCTTGCCAGGAGGTGTTTCACCCTTTGCTTACCACCAGGTATAGATTGCTGATAGGTGACTCTTAGAGGTCAGAAAAAAAGACAATTTAAGGCCCTCACTGCTGGTACCAGGAAGAAGAGTCCTCTTGCCCTCCTCCAAGGGCAACTAGAGCTTCCATCCAGCCTTTACCTCTACTGATGGAACCTGATATCCTGCCATACAGATGCTCAGAAATCCCCTGGAGCTGTTCCTGATTCCTTCTCTGGCAGCCTACCTGACCTGCAGACCTCCTCCAGACCTGGAACCTCGTGCTCTTCCTGGCTTCAGAGCCTCCGTTCTCCCCAGCTTCTGTCTTCACTGTCAGCCCTGGATTCCCACCCAGCTCCTTGACAGTCACTACCCACACCCCACAGTGGCAGCTAGCTTCCCAGGAAAAGATGGCATGGCACTATTAATTGCTAATTTGGTGAACACCTGGCAACCCCAAGAGTTGTTGACATCACACCTACATAAACAGTATGACTATACCTGGACAAAAATGGTATCTGCTCACATTCCTTTACACAGACAACACAGCTCTGGTTGTACCTGTTCCCTAACCACATTGATGAAGTCTGAAAAGAAATAGTGTTTCTCACAGTCTGAGCTGACTGTATCAGGAAATTTCAGCTGAATTCCCATTAGGGGAAAGCCAATGAGTCAACGTTACTGAGACCAAAAGATCCTGT